CTTTCTTCACCATCACAATGTGATTAATACATTGACTATCTGATTTAAAGGATGCTTAAATTCCCTGACGTCCAGTCTAATCATTAAAATATAAATCAAACTGATATCCATCTGAGAACATGGTAATCTAATTGATGATTAATGGCTCATTAATCATGGCTTCTTCCATGAAATAAACATTTGTGTCTCCGTTGGCCTAGCTGTATAAACTGTGACAGTCATCATTTTTGTTTTTATTGTATTGCAGGAGTGTAAGAGGCTGTCCCTCTCCAAGATTAGATAGCAGTATTGTTCACAGTACTACATTGTTCCAGGACTGGAACACCACAACTTAAGAGCTGCTTAACACAATGTGAGCTTCCTGTTTTAAATGCATAGTGACTTTGTGAAACACTGATGCTTTGGGGCTGAGCTAAATGATTTCCTGGTGTGACCGTTGGTGCAAAAATTTCGAACTACTTGTTTTTATAATTGAAGCCAGAGGCCTTTAAGGAGGAATTCACAATGTTTTACTTCCAGTGTTTCCTTTCATTAAAAAACGTCCTCCCACATTATCCTCGAAATCATTAGAATTTGCTATATCCTCAGGGCCTACAGTATAGACTTAGACTGCATCATATTTCACTTTCATAACATTTGAAGAAAAAATTGAAAACAAACCACTTCAGTTTCACAGTTTGTGACTAGTTGCTGTGTTTGTTTCCTGGTTTAAATACCGGGGCTTTAAAAGCAGGAATTGTGCCAGTCAGTAAGGATTAGTCCTCTGGACCAGCAGAACATTCACTGTATCTTCAATCTGAGATGATTAAAGTACGTACAAGATTTTGAATATGTAGTCATTGTTAAACTTTATTGCTGTAATAAAGTTGTCTTGGAGCCTGCACCAGATTATAAAATCTGAAACCTAATTAGGTATTAAGGTCAAAGGACACACAAACAGCCCAATGACTTATTTATGTGACCTTGTGATGACCTAACCTGGGTAATTCAATTTGATGACTTCCTGGTTTTCACTTTGGAACCTGCATAACTCAATATATTACATGAAATATATTTTATTTTTCAGATTTTTAAAAAAATATTTTCTCTAAATCTAAATATTTTGTTTACTTCCAGTTTTCTTAAGCAGTAGTGAAATTGAATGTCATATTAATGAAAAGCTCCCAAATCTACAAATTTTAACCTACTCTCTCCTCCAGTGGGGCTGCAGGACATTCCACTCCCTGGTGTAGCTATGAGACTCCATTGTCTCGGCTTCATACTCTTGGATTGTGAGCCCGGGCTCTTGTGTTAAGCAGAGTAGCTGATAGCAATAGTCCAGTCTGCCAAGTCCGATGCCTTTGATGACTGATGCTTAGCAGCCAGGCCTCAGGTTGTGCTGGAGCCTATCTGTTCCTCTATAGTGAGAGGCCAAAGTCATCTAAAAACAGGCCACACATTGTTTTGAAGCTTTGTTAACCAGACCTGGCGCTTTTTGTTAGGAGCTGGGTAGAGCCCCAAATGCTAACAATGGATGAAACCTGAGCTGTGGGTTTGTAGCAAAGGTGTTTGATGGAAAAAACTAACTGCATTTCCCTCTCAGTTCACACAGCACTTACTGTTCACACTGCCATGGTTGGTTAGAATTCCCCCCATAAATAGTCTTGAAAAAACAATGGAAATCTCCAGTCCGATCAAGCACTTCACGCACTTGCTCTGTTGCAGTTTGGGCATTTCAGTTGTATCAGAGGAACACAGCTAAATGTTTCTCGTCTTTCCTCTACAAATGAAATTGGTCATGCTTTTGGCAAATCCCATGTAACAAAATACTCTCTCGCCTTGCTGAAGAGTTGAGAGCCTTTTGGCTGCACTTGGCCTCTGCCAGAGTGGATGAGGAAGAAACTACTCATCAGTGGACTTAAGGGCCCACTGATTTTTTTTTAAAGCAGACGATGAACTGGTGAGTAAGGCCTGAGCAACAGACTAAAGATTACTAATGCAAACCCCAAAGCTTTTGTAGAATGTTCCTTTTATGGGATTTCCGAGGGCCAGAGTGAGGCTGAGTTTCTTGAGACGTGACTAAGGCAGTAAGACAGAGTTGTTGGCAGGCAACACTGTCAAACAGTGGTTATACGGACACAGAGATCCGCCTGTCAGCAATCAAGCTAAAATAAGAAACCTCTTCAGCCAAAGGTGGCCTCAAAGAGTGTGTATCTTTTTGTTTAGATGAAGAGGGGAGTCCAGCCGGTGAGAGTTATCTCCTCTCTGTGTTGTCCTCCAACCTGGGCCAATCGCTCTAATCTGGGAATGTTTAACCCAAGTGGGGATTCCCAGATCACAGCTGCTTTCTCTTGCTGGAATGATGTGTGAAATGTGTGGGACTTTTTTTTCAATTGCGGTTGTTGTTTTTCTTTCTTTCTTTCTCTGTCCCCCTGTTTTTCTTCTTCTGTTCTTCTTCTCTCGGCATGGCCCACAGTGGCAGTTGGTAGAGGTGCAGGGTTAAAGGGGGGCGGGGAAGTTGGAATGGAGGTTGCATTGAGGAGTGAGTTAGCAGCAGTGTGCTTGCCGCCCACTCCCTCTCCTGTCTTCCTCTCACGCTTCCTGTGGGACTGAAGAGGAGTATGGTTTTAACAGAAGGAAAGCTGGTGGTGGCGGGGAGGTGTTGTCCCGGCTGGAACGGTCTTCAATGTGGAGAATGCTGGGGCTTTAAAGAGGAAGTGGGTTGAATGTTGAGACATTTCTGGAGGATAGTGGGTGCACTGTTGGAATTTAAATGGCTCTCATGGTAACAGAGAGTGTGAGTTTTGGGGTAGCGTGAGTCTCATTGTTTAGCTGCAGCTACAGAGCTCTAGTGGACTTTCCAACAATGCACCTGGGAGATGTGTCTGACTAATAATGTCCCTGCCCTGATTTTTTGGCCCCTCACATATTGGTAACAGATGAATGCTACGAATTGGATAAGTTATTGACACAAGTAATTTGAATCTTACTAGTAACATAACTGCAGTTGTGACTGATTTTCTGGAAGTGTAATATGTAAATATTTATCTGAAATACAAGAACTCGGAAATAAGCAATCAAGTATCCATCCATCTGTAGAAATTGTCTGTGAATTATTCTTTTTCTTTTTTCTTTTTTTAACAAATGAAATAAACTTTCTTTTCCAAGTATTTTAGAGAATTTGGAGTAAAATGACAACTTCTTTTATATATTTTCTCTTCAGGTTCTCTTCTAAATTAGTACAAAAATGATGGATATCAGTATAAATCGGTGAAATAGACTAAAAAGGAAACAGGTTTGAATTGATGTCAGTGGGAAGAGTTTTTTTTTTCTCAGCAACCAACAATGAAACAGTACCCTGAAATGCAGTTATAATTTATTTTTAGTCTAAGCATCTTTTACATATTATCTATAATAATGTTTTACAGATCCATTGACAATTACATGTGTGAACTTTCAACAGACACTAAACAACACACGCTTCATCCTAAGCCCTAATTCCTATTACCTCTGGTAGTCAGTGTGGGATTTTGAATCAGTTACAGTCTGTTCCCCAGCTGGCTGCAAACATTTTCTGTATGTCAATAAATTCTGGACAGGTTGCATCTGGTAAGTTTTAAACGGCTTCATTGCTAAAAAAGCAGCTGCCTGCAAAAACTGGAAGTTACATCGGAACGCTGCACAGCCCAAGTAAAATGGTGAGGTTGTGGTTTGGAAAAACCAAAGGAATGAGCTGAAGGATGCTGTAAATCCCCGTAGAGCTGAAGAAAACTGCAGAGTTAAGTGAAACATTACTTGCAAGGAACTTTGTCACCAGGAAGGAACAATGGCTCTTACCCTAAACCATTAAGATGTTGTAAAAAGCTGTTTTTCCAATTGGAACAAAAAACGAGTTCCCATGAAAACAATGCCAGTTGCAGTTGAAGAGAGAATGTTTCTTGTCAAAAGTATTTCTGCTGAAGTCATTTTTACCATTCCAAAGCAGAAGGGGGTCCACATCAATTCTCATTTATTTCTTGTGACAAAGAAAAACTCTCAGGACAAAAACCTTATTAAATGCTCTTTCTGTGATTTTGGTGAACGGCCATCATGACATGACTGTCTCTTGCTACAGTCCACAGATCGCTTCAAATAATGCTAACCTTTAATACCAGCATTGTGCCAAAAAAAATCTGATCTCTGTGGAGAGGAAACGTAGAAAAAGAACAGAGGCCAACTTCATTGGGCTGCTTTGTTAGCTGGTGCTCTACAGCTGGATGCATTAAGGTTTGTTCCTTTTGTTAGCCGTTAGGGAGAGGTCAGCCATGTTCATATATCAAGTGTGAAGCTTTGCACCCGCTCTCCGCAGTTTGACCCCACGGCCGGTTGCTATATCCACCACCTACGTTTGTTAAACCACAAAACCACTCCTCACTCAACTCTTTCTTCTCATTTTCCTCCGTCACTTCCTCCCTGTCACCCCCTCCTCTCCGTCACCCCCCTCCTCTCCATTAGAACAGGATTTATTTCATTCTCTTGTGCGTCTTCCCTGGAGATGACAATCAGCTGCCTTCTGGTTTGAAATCGCAGGGCAGCCACAAAGCACTGACCCTAAGAAAAGTTCGACTTCCTGGGATGTCAGAGGGACTTGTGTTGTTGTATTCATTGGAGATAGGGAGGAAAGGATTGGTGGGGGACGGGGAGGCGGGGGGTGTATCCTCTGGCCCCCTTTTTTTCTTTGAGGCCCCAAGATGTTTTCTCTGAGGAATTGATAGATCTCCCACGCAAAGGAAGAGAGCAGGATATCAGGATTTTTTAAAGTCGAACTACAAAGTGTGTTTATATTACGGCACCACAGAAAGCACATTTGACCGTTTATGCTGCTGTTTTTGTGCTATCTCATCCTCTAACTACTCCTGAACCTCAGCCAGTCAGAAAATATAAGAGCAGGAAGGATGAGCTGATTTCACATAAAGATTCAGAAAGGGGATATTTTGTTTCTCACAGATGGACTTGGAGAGATTTATGCTCCCCTAAAATCTGACTGTCTAGAACAATTGAGTCAGTTTGAACCTGGGGATTCACCATTTCAAACCAGAGCCAGTACACACGCAGAGTGTGTTTTACCTTTGTTCTTCATCTTTCTCTGTCTCGTCTGTAGAGATTTGTGTGAAAGTGTGTCATAATTTACCTTTAAATATAGGACATAATTGTGGCATTGGAACGATGCAGATTGTGTTGCATTTGAAATGTTGTTCAACTGGTGTTCACTTGGAAAGGGCGTGACAGTTAGGATTGCGATTTTCCATTAATTATGTATAAGTTTTCAGATGATGTAATTATCAGGCTCTGGTCAAAGCATAATTGAATAACGGGTGGTGACACAGAGGAAGCAGAAGCGGCAGCGCCCGTTCTGTTGTCAGAAGAAATGTAAAGCAATAATTGAATTGCATGAGTGATGAGTTGGTGTTTAAAAAGAAATCATTAAAACAACCGCAGGTTCAAAAAGCTCCGGGAAGAGAAAGTTTTGACTCAAATATCTGTGTGATAACTTTTGGTTTTGTCTGTAAAGTCAAGTATCCACAGATCAAATTAAGGTACAATTTTGGAATGCAGATAAGACGTAGACAAATCAGCCGTGACTGTGACACAGGCGATCAGGCTGTTGTTATTAGAGCAGGTCTGGGGTAAAACAAGAATACATTTTGTTTCATGAGCACAATGTTCTTCAAATAATAATCCAAAATAGTTTGTTGTTATACAGATACAGTAGCCTTAGGAGACAAAAATCTACCCACACACACACTCACACACACACACGCAGCAGACTTCCAGCACTGGTGCTAAAGTAAACAGCTAAAGAATTATACTCGACTGAATATAGCAACGAGCTTAGATGACTAATGATTGGGTTTATGGAGTCTTTTGTGGTGCAGTGACCGTCTGCAAAGATCAGGACAAACCAGGGAATGGCTTATATGACGAGAAGTGTTGCACACATGCCAGCACATACACACACCCCCGCACAGGCACACAGTCAAGCTGAGATGTCGCAGACCTGCCGCTCCTCGGTCCAGCAGTTATCTTCTGGACACTGTGACGACAGTAGAGCTGGAAGGAAGTGAAGCAATAAATAATTAGTTTATGTCAGAGTATCGGTTACATCTCTGCCACACCTCAAATTTAAAGGTCCAGTTTAAATATGTTTATACACCTGCTGTTAAAATTTAAGTAGAAACAAATATAAAGAAAATTGTGTTTTTTAATTAAAGACTGCAAAGTCTTTTTTGTGAAGATTTTTCTTCCTGTTGTTGGACGTGTACAGCCCCACAAGAGAGCAAAGCCCGTCATGGCAGTACAGTGCCAGCCATTCAGTCACAGTCCCTGGTTTTACTATTAAATAATACTGATTCTCACACCCACACCTCAAGCAGACAGTTGTTTTTCATTTGTGCGATGAGTACAGTTTAAGTCAGGTGTCCTGGAAAAATGAGGTCAACACTACTTTCCGTTCCCTGCCTTTTTAGTCCACCAGCTGTTGTTTGCCTGCATTAGCAAAGAAACCGTTTGATCTGCCTTTTATAACCATGCGGCCCTGACATACGAGAGGCATTTTCATTTGCAGGGTTTTGTTGTTAATAGGAAATTACGGTGTAGAAGGAATTGTAAAGTCATGTTTAAGTTGTAACTTCAGCGTTGATACACTCTGACCTTGGCCCTGCCTCATGAGGAAGTGGTAGTTTATGGTGGTAGAATATCAGGTCACCCACCATCTGCAACAGACTTGTAAAACCAACTGAATAAAGAAGATGTTTACCCTGACCTCACTTCTGCCTGTGTGTTTTTTATTAAGTTGCCTTAAAGATAATTTGTGCTCCACCAAGCTCATGACTTCATCACTGGTGGATGCATGGTGAACGGCAGAACAACAAGTCTTTTAGGCATAATTAAAAGCCTTGTTCTTAATCTGTCACTCGGGATGCTCAAATCAAATTGATTAATAGTCACAGCTGCATTGCCGCCACGACCTCTGGGTTTATGACAGATTAGTCTCTCAATCTTAGCAATAGTAATTGGTATCATTATATGATTTCTAATCTCAACCTGGTTTCTCTAATTAAAACCGTCAGCTTGCGTTTTGTGAGTCTGTTGCCTTGACGTAAGCCTGCTGGACTGGAGAGCTCATATCAAGGAGATCCCCCGGGGACGAACTAATGAGGAGGAAGAAGCAGGACAATGGGAGACAGCTGTCAGTGTCTAATTCTCACTGATTCAGTGCCCATCACTGTTGGTTTGTTGGTCTGTAGTTTGAACAGAAGATGTTAACTAGGATGGTACAGGGCCTTGAATAATTCAAAGTCCTTGAATTGAATACATTTTAAGGGCTTACATTAAAAAATGGACAGGAAATAAAAGTGAAAGTAGCAAATTCAAAAAATGGCAAACTATTCAGTTGCGACTGAATCATTCTCATAAACTAAATAAACAAAAGAAAACGTACAGTGAAAGATAATGAAGGCAGCATTGTGCAGTTAATTTCACTGTTATTTCAGTGCTGTGTCCAAGGTGTGGTTCTGAATTGGGTGCACATGTTTTGGATGTTCTCTCTGGTCAAGAGCAGACACGTTGTGGAATTTGACTCATAAGACATTACACAGAACTGTAATTTCCAGTGTAGAAACCGCTGCACAAACCAAATCAAAACATTAAACAACAGTGTAGTAATTAAAAGAAATAAAATATTTGTATTCCTTTCTTGTGTACTTGTGAATGCATTCGTGTTCCTATACTGGTGTGTAAATATCATTGAGTTCTTCTGTGTTAAATCCAGATGTTCATCACTGTGCCAGAATAAACCAGTCTGTCCAGCCTGGAACACATGAGGGCAGAAACACGACCTGACACCCAATACTCTAATAATAAGAAAAGATCTTTTGTTGGTGGCTCCTGCACTTGTCAGTAATACTACCTTGGGCAAACGCTGTATTGCACAATTACATGTGTGTTTGCTTCTTCAGCTCATCACCTCAGCACAGTCAATTTAAATGCCACAAAATAAATAACATTCATTTAGATTTTATGTGACACGTTTAGACATAATGCACAGTGATTTTTAAGTTGTCCAAAAACACACACATACACACAAATCTAGTACATATTTAAACGGCTTGTGTTACTTCAACATAACTCCTGCTACAGTGGTTGCTTGAACTAAACCATGTATAGCAGTGGAAAAAAAATTTTTTTTTTTCTTCTGGTATAAAGACAGACTGCTTACATTGAAACATGAGCCAGAATCTCACATTGGCCCTCAGTTTTAATTCCTTTTGTAAATGCAGGCATGGAAGTTTTGTAGTTATGACTACCCCAGCCAGTCACACACACACACACACACACACACACACACACACAGAGAGAGAGAGAGAGAACACTATGAGCAGGCCAATGTGTTACATAAGCTCAGCTATGTGTAAGTGACTGTGGAGCCTTTTCTCTGCACTTCTACACGATTTACTCTAGATATGATTTAGAAAGAAATAGTGATATATTTGTTTTTTGTCATTTTCATCTACAGTATGCCAAGGAATCACCAACCGCTTAAACCTTCTTGGCTCCAAGGAAGACCACTACCTGAATATGGTTAAGACCTACAGCAACTGCACGGTGGTCCTGGAGAATCTGGAGGTGACCTACATGGAGGCGCACCGTGACTTGTCTTTCCTAAGGGTAAATACTGCTCTGGTTTTTAACATGCACAGGAGAACACAAAGAATCAAGGTTTTTTTTGGGGGGGGGGGCAGTGGGTGGGTACTTCATAGATTTCCAGTCAGTTTAGCGGTCCGTGTCCTTGATCTCTTTCCTAGCTCTACAGTACTGACTCTTAAAATCAGTGAGCTTTGAGTCTGTGAAGATGAAAATGGTTCACCCTCTCTGCAACTGTCTGACTAGAGCTTTCCATCAAAGTCCAGCAAGAACCACCAGTCTGTGAACACTGGGCATACGGGAACAGACCACACATGCACACACACGCACACACACACACACACAGAGCCAAATGAGAACTTGCACACGCTAAGAGTAAAAACCTACAGTCAGCAGAAATGCTCAAGCTTCAAAGTTGTAATTTCAACTAGTTATTTTTTTCCCTCTGGTCCAGCTCTCAAAATAATTAGATTCAGCATGTTATGGTTGGGTCTGTCTGCAGCCTAATGTTTCTCTCAAGTTTAACTTTGAACATAAAACGGTGGGAACAATATCAATATCTTGGTTAACTGTAACTGTTTGTTGTGTCTTTGTGCAGTCAATTGAAGAAGTCGGTGGCTACGTCTTGATCGCCCTCAACACAGCCACCAGAATTCCTCTGGAAAACCTGCACATCATTCGAGGCCATTCCTTGTATGAGGGAAAATTTGCTCTCAGTGTTTTGGCCAATTACGACAAAGCTACCGGACAGGGCACCAAAGAGCTTCTCCTCAACAGCCTGACAGGTGAGTCCCTGATTAAGATCTCACAGAGGTAGACACGTTGGTCACACGTTTGATGCATTTATGAAGCAGGAAATTGACGTAGTGTTCGGGCACACGAAATTAGAAGTATCTTCTGTATCTGCTATGAGTATTTCAATGTATACTGTTGTTCTTTTTTCTGCCTTTATTTTTGTTTCTTCAGAGTGAGCTCATGTGCTGCACCACATACACAACAGATCAGTGTGGATCTGGCTTCAGTTTCAAAATGCATGAAATTTTATGTTGCACGGCGGAGCTGTGTTTTAAATGCAATTCAGTAGATTTATTAAGTCTTCACTCGCCACTGCAGAAATTCTCAAAGGAGGCGTCAAGTTTGGGACCCACCAGCTGTGCAATGTGGAGACGATACAGTGGAATGATATTGTCACTGAGAGTAACCCCACCATGGAGCTCCCAGGGACTAACAACAGTTCACTCTGTAAGTTCAAGGCCAGTTAACCTTTAATATTTTTTCAAGCACATAATCTTCCAATCAATTCTGTTGGTTTATTGTTCCTTTTTTGCTTTTTTTTAGGTAAACCATGTCACTCCAGCTGTTATAATGGCTCATGTTGGGCACCTGGTTCTCAAAACTGTCAAACTTGTAAGTTTTGTTCTTTAAAATTGAATTGTTATTATTCATTATTTAGCAGCTTGTTACAATACGAATAGAATAGAATAAGAAAGAACAAAATAAATCAATATAAACTAACTGTTGTTACTCAACAACCCTAAAGGAGTATAAAAAAGGCTACAAACCTTAGTTTATTACCTGGTGTGCTCCTCAGTATCAGATGAGTTATTACTGTTATTGCAGCAAACAACCCAGCACACATGGTGAACACATGCTTGAAACACTACAGTGTTTAAATTCCAAATAGTCAATGTGATTCAAATTAAACTGCTGCTTAATTTCAGCAAAAAGACACAAGATTGACCAATGACTGATTTTGTCCTGTTCTTTTCTCCAGATACGAAGCTAAACTGTGCACAGCAGTGCTCCAAAAGATGCAAAGGGCCTTCACCGAGTGACTGTTGTAATGAGCACTGTGCTGCTGGCTGCACCGGACCCCGGCCCACCGACTGCCTGGTAGGAGAAAGATGTGTTTTGTCGATTTAAAGATACAGTCAGAGGAACAGCAGAGCTTGGACAGCAAAATAAACTGAACATCTCATACTTCTGCTCTAAATTACGACCAGAGAGGCCTTAAAACTAAACAAACCCCTTCAGTCAGCATCTGTTTTTACGATCAAGTGTTATTAGTCCAGTACCAATGAGACATAGGAGTGCTGATTATAGCGCTCATTTGGCAGTAGCTCAGGTTTCAGCGCCTGCTCTCCCCTTTATCTTTCCAGCTCTGAGGATTGAGCTGCGGCTCTGATGCTGGAATGCGGTGTGATTATTAGCATGGGGCTCTTGTTATGGTTTCTGTGCGCTGGATGACTGTTGTTTGTGCTGCAGGCTTGTCGGGACTTCCAGGATGACGGTGTTTGTAAAGACTCCTGCCCGGGCCTCATGCGCTACGAACCCAACCTGCACCAGCTGGTTCCAAATCCTCATGGAAAATACAACTTCGGGGCTACCTGTGTCAAGAAATGTCCATGTAAGAATGGAATTAAGCCAATTAAATATTCCGAGTACAAGCCAAGGTTTAAACAGTTGGGTTGCATTAAACAGTTGGGTTGAGCGTCAAGTTAAGCGGTGTCTTCAGTTTCTACCAATTACCAATTCCATTAAAAACCAACAATGGAATGCACCATCAGTCCTAGGACATGCATGATAACATTAATTAATTGATAATAATAATAATAATTTTTAGTTTTTTTGCTCGAACCACTTTGCAATGCTACTTCTGCTACTTCCAGTGAAAATCTGGAGAGGGATTTTGTTTGTTTATTGCAGTAAACCAAAATAATTTACATCTTGGACCATGCTGTAAACATGCTCATGTTAAAAATGAGATAAACACTGCCCTTTATGGTGTTATTTAAGGAAAGACACCAACACTTTTTAATCGTGAAATTGGCTAAAACTATTGGCTAAAAAAAAAAAAAGGCACATTTACAGGATGACCTGGGTGACCTAGGTTTTTACATTTGGTTTTTAATTTACTCAGGATTCTCTAATGTTTTGTAAATCAAATGATCGTATTTGATTGTAATTATTACCAAACCTTAACCAGTGGCCCCTCTGTCCATTATAAGTGCATTTTCATGTTGTGTGTTGAACTCGTGTCCAGGTTGTCCTTCACTGTTGTTACACATTCAGTGGTAACACTTAACACCCACAGATTAATTATAAACTCACGAACAAGGAAAGAAAATAATTAAGTTCTCAGGCGTGTCAATGCAAAAACTGTCCTTTCTAACTTTCTAACTGCTGATACTTCACGTACAATATTTTATGGCCCATAGCACAAGCGCGTACCTATAGTAAGAGGTTATATTACGCAAAGACGTTGTCATGGTTGAAGGGTACAATGAGACATGTTTGTGTTTCTGCACTGGTTCCAGATAACTATGTTGTGACTGATCATGGAGCCTGCGTACGAACGTGCAGTGGTAATACATACGAGGTGGATGAGGGCGGAGTCAGGAAGTGTGCCAAGTGTGAAGGACTGTGTCCCAAAGGTAGGGTGTAGCTGCAACCTGAGTATGTTTTTGTGACATAAGTACTCACATACACAATTTAAACTCAGGTACTACAGTATGAATACTTTGCTGCCTCTCTCTCTCTCACACACACACACACACACAGAAGGAAATACTTCACACACACACACACACACAAGGAAATACTGATTTACAAATCAAATCATTAAATTTGTTTTGCTTAAAACTGATTTTCTTTTTAAGTTTCACCTCACAGTTTGTTGTTTTGTAAAGATAAATAAAAAAGTCATTCTATGAACAATAATTAAATTATAATAGAAAAGAAAATTCTAATATCTAAGCAATATACGTATAAGTAAATGTTGAAACTGTTGCTTCTCACTACTCACTCACTACTTCACCTCTCAGAGCTTGTGTGCATTTATAATTTAGAGTTAAAAGAGCTCTGATTTTTTTACTCCAGGGATTTGGTATAATCCTGTAAGATTTCTTAATTCTTGGTCAAATAAATGTTGCATGACATATGATTCGTAAGTAACAGAAACATAAAGGAAGAAAAACTGATCAGGCAGTTGTTAATGTTCGTTCGAGTGTAGCAGGATAATCTCTTTAGATTAATTGTCAGGGTAACTGGTCAACAGTAGCTGTAATCATCTTTTCTTATTCTGTATAATTGCTGCTCACACCTTATTTGATTGTGTTAGAAATGGCTGCTTTCTCTGTCTCTAATCCTCCTAGATTAGGATTGTTGTAGAAGAAGATCGTCACCATCTTCTGCTCTCACATTCATGTTTTTCAGTGTGTAACGGGCTCGGAGCAGGAGACCTCACTCGCACGCTGTCCATCAATGCCACCAACATTGACTCCTTTAAAAACTGCACAAAAATCAATGGAAATATTGCCCTTATCAAGACATCCATTCATGGGTGGGTAAAAATCACAGCAGTAGAACTCTCACATTAGTGCAGTAGAATAACTGTCATGACTGATTTTATTTTTCAGAGATCTATACACCAAAACTCCAAAGATGGAGCCTTCACAGCTCGATGTGTTTAAAACAGTTAAAGAAATTACTGGTAAGACTAGAGAAAGCAAAGCTGCACTTGGGAACAGTAAATACACATGGAAGAGGCTCAAAGTTAACAACGTGTGTTTCTTCAGGGTATCTTTGGATTCAAGACTGGCCAGAGAGTTTGAACTCACTCAGTCCTTTTGAGAATCTGGAGATCATCCGAGGACGGACTAAACGGTTTGTTATTCATATACATTTATCTTGAGCTCAGTTTTCCCTTTTTTTTCTTCTCATCATACATATACATTTATCTTGAGCTCAGTTTTTCCTTTTTTTTCTTCATCGTAATCCACCTTCTCTCTGTGTCGACAGCGGTAGCCTCAGTCTTGTAATTACCCAGCTTCGTGTCAACTACCTGGGCCTTCGCTCCCTCAAACAAATCATCGATGGTGATGTGATCATCAGTAACAACCAGAACCTGTGTTACACCAGTAAAACCCACTGGGAGATGCTTTTCACATCAAAAAGCCAGATTGCCAAAGTTGAAGGCAATGCTGACACTGCCACATGTGGTACGTTATTATATATTTTTAATATAAATTCAAATACGTTTGCTGTGGTGTTGTGGTGTCGAGTCTAATTTAAAAAAAATGGATGAGTGTGCAGAAAAGATCCCTTCTTGAGATTATGTGCTTGTTTTCAGCTCTGAGCAACAACACGTGTAATAGGAAGTGTACCACAGATGGCTGCTGGGGTCCAGGCCCAGACATGTGTTTCGCCTGCCGTGATTTCAGCCGTGACAGGAGCTGTGTCGACTCCTGCAACATCCTGGAGGGGTGAGGAGGGAATCTGGGAAATTGAGGCAGCATTTTCCATTTTAGTCCGACCAACACACATGACTTTATCTATACTGTACAGATGTGCTTGAATATTTTTATAACGCAAGGCTGACATTTAAAAATGTTCAGGCGTTTGTTTTTAAAAGCAGCTCAAAGACCTATTATGATTCAACTAAGTCCTCAGTTAAACCTGCACTAAGAAATGAAACAGTTCTGAAGCAGCTTGGAGCACAGGTGTTTATCTTTGTATTCCTCTGTCAAACATTGAATCTCAATCTGCTTATAATTTAACTTGTGCTGTTAAAAAACATCAGTAAAGAATTACACCGAGGGTCAATTTTTGATTTGTTTGTTTTCTCTGCAGAGAGCCACGGGAGGCCGTCAGGAATGAAACCTGCCTGGAGTGCCACCCAGAGTGTCAACGCCTGAATGGGACAGCGACCTGTAGTGCACCAGTATGTAGTGGCAACGACTAAAACACAAAGATAAACGAATGAAAAACTCCAGTCCTAAAACACATACAGTGGGGCAAAAAAGTAATCAGTCAGCCACCAATTGTGCAAATTCTTCCACTTAAAAAGATGAGAGAGGCCTGTCATTTTCATCATAGGTGCACTTCAACTATGAGAGACAGAACGGGGGGAAAGAATCCAGGAAATCACATTGTAGGATTTTTAATTAATTAATTGGTAAATTCCTCGGTAAAATAAGTATTTGGTCACCTGGTGGCTTTTTTTGCCCCACTGCATGTCAAACTCAAGGCCCGTGGGCCAAATACAGCCCGCCACATTATTTTAAGGGTCCAACCACAGCTTAGCTCAATTATCGTTCTTTTTTCAGGGTCCCGCAAATTGTACCAAATGTGCAAACGTCAAAGATGGACTGTTCTGCGTGTCTCACTGTCCTCAAGGCGTGCCCCGGGACGACGAGTCTTTGGTGTGGAAATATGCAGATGAATTAAAAGTTTGCCAGCTCTGCCACAAAAACTGCACTCAAGGGTAAACCTGGGAGGATTTCATTATAATGTTGATGCAGCGATTTTCTCTCATCGTGTCAAATGTCTTTTGGACCTAATAAATGAAGAAATAATGGTCGGTTCTCCAAAGTGTCTGAAGTCAGATTTCTAAATGACATCCAGTTCTTCTCTTTGTTTGTCTGCAGGTGCACTGGGCCTGGACTTGAAGGCTGCCATATCAAAAGGTCAGTAAGTTATTCTTCATTTAAAAGGTGACATTAAGACCTAAACCTTTGTTGTTAGTAAAACCAAAGTGTTTTTGAAAATATCTGAGTGTTTTTGAATTTGTCTGGACACTAAAGTCTGTTCCCATCTTTCTTTCAGAGTGTCGGGTCTGTCCATGGTCGCAGCAGGTGTAGTTGGAGGACTGCTGGCTGTGCTCATCGCTGCTCTGTCCGTGTTTGTGCTGCTACGCCGGCGTTACATCAAAAGGAAGAGGACGCTGCGCAGGCTGCTCCAGGAAAGAGAGGTAAGAGGGGCTACGTTTTATTTACTCTGTGGTCTGCTCACGGTCTGTTTCTGTGGAAGGGTTACAGACTCTGTGTCTAACAACAACCTCCTTGTTTTTCAGTTGGTTGAGCCTCTGACTCCAAGTGGTGAGGCGCCAAACCAGGCTCTGCTTCGAATCCTTAAAGAACCTGAGTTTAAGAAAATCAAAGTGCTGGGATCAGGGGCCTTTGGTACTGTTTATAAGGTAATAACATAGGTGTTTCACAACCTGTGTTTGTTGGTGAAATTCCTCTGCAGCTTTACTGATGCTGTGACTCAGCGGTATACTGTGTGCCTGTGCTTTTTATTTTCTTTATTTTTATTACAACAGGATATTTCCACCTAAACATTTCCACCTAATGTGTCACTCTCTCATAAATCAGTTCATTTACAACAGCTCTTGTTGGTGTTGTTCCTGCAGGGCCTCTGGGTTCCAGAAGGAGAGGACGTGAAGATCCCTGTGGCCATCAAGGTTTTAAGAGAGGCCACATCTCCTAAAGCAAACAAGGAAATCTTGGACGTAGGTTCTCTGATTATACTGATAACTGATAAATGAAGTTTTCATTGACACTGAGTCAGTGCTAAAGTGGTTAGTCACAGTATAATTTCCTGAGAACTCTGGTCAAACTTATCTGTTGATGTCTGTAAAGAATTTTATAATGATCGGATTATGACATAACTGTTACTTGTGTAATAGAAGAGCTTCAGAACATATGGGCCACATAGTACTGCAACAATGTCTTCATCTTAACACATGCATCTTATTTAAAATTGTAATGGCGCCACATTTTGGTGGCTCTTGGTTAATGTAATGTGAGGTGTTAGGACAATTTCAGAGTATATTGGAAGTGGGATTAATTCCACAGAAGGCGTGTGTGGGTGTTGGTGTGTAATGCAATCCTCACTGAGGCGTTCTGGAAAAAGATGCAGTCCTGAGGCCAAACTGTGAACGCAGCCCGTTTTTAATGTATTATAGAAACTGCTGAATCTGCCTCTCAGATCCTGTGATTATGTGATTATGTTGTTTTGAAAGCCTTGCAGAATCTTTTATTTTAAATGCTCATTTTTCACAGTGTCAGAAATCGCCAGGCTCCCAGCAATCCCAGGTGGTTATTTTGGTTCGCTCTGTGAAGAATCCTCATAAAATATTTGTGTTACAATTAATTCACTAATGGCAGGGAATCGGCTAAATAAAGCCCAGTTGAAGAGTGTTTGCACACGCCTTCTAGTGAGAAGCCCATTGTTGGTGTTGAGTGAGGATTATCTCAGTGGTTTGCTTTTCTCTTATGATGACTTAAAGTTTCCATTCTGAGCCGACCCTGCTGCTGCTCAGGGACTGTGGAGACGGTGCTGCAAATGATTAGTTTCAAGGACAAATGCAGACACTTTGACTAGTTTTTGTTCAGTACATAATGAATCACACAAGAATTATAGTATTGCATAAAAAAAGACTATAGGAAAAAACAAAGCAGCCTTTTTGTTCTGGTGTCGTTATCGGTAAAACTTGGAGCGTAACATGTCATCATTAAACAGGGTGGGAAACGTACTAAAAAGATAAAGAAGAAATCTTTACAAAGTTTGTTTTGTGACCTTTTTTGTATCTCCATCCACACTGCAGGAAGCCTACGTGATGGCCAGTGTGGAGCACCCACATGTGTGCCGACTGCTGGGCATATGCCTGACGTCCACGGTGCAGCTCGTCACCCAGCTGATGCCGTACGGCTGCCTGCTGGACTACGTCAAAGAGAAGAAGGATAACATCGGCTCCCAGCACCTGCTCAACTGGTGTGTGCAGATAGCCAAGGTGAGAATTAGACGTGAACAAAAGGTGTCGAGTTACATGGTGGTGTCTTTGTAATGGGTTGAACAGGTTCTGTGATATATTGTCATATCACACCCACAGTAGGGGAGCACTGATGTAATACAGACACGAAATAGTTCAACAAAACTTACATTTGAAGAACATAATCTAATTGTGTCCACACTTTCTGCTGAAAGTAAAAAAAGCACTGTGTTCATGAAGTACCATGTTTTATTTATTTATTTATTTATTAGGGTATGAACTACTTGGAAGAACGCCACATGGTGCACCGTGACCTGGCAGCCAGAAATGTTCTAGTGAAGACCCCTCAGCACGTCAAGATCACAGACTTTGGTCTGGCTAAACTTCTGAATGCAGATGAGAAAGAATACCACGCAGACGGTGGGAAGGTTGGTGCCGAAAAAACTCATACACCCGCTTCATGTGTAGACGGTCTAGACGGCTGTTGTCACGTCGGAGAACTTCCTGTGGTGGAGGAAATTATCTTTAGATTTAATCTTGTGTTATTGGCCTTAAATGATATGAGTTTTTTTGCAGCTAATATTTTGTCACAAAGTTTTCTCACTGTAAATTGCACCACTCATATTCCTTCCTTGTAACTTGTCACTGTTTTTACTTAATCTGTCCATCCACCAGAGGGATTTAACCTCTGTGACTTTGTGGCCCAGGGTTTCCAGTATGACGTTGCCTCACTCGTGGTTTTGTTTAACAAGCGACACCCAATGCTGTATGCTTATTCAGTGCTTATTTACCAAAGCTCTGCCTTGTGCCGCACAGGTTTTAAACTAAAAGTTTTCTGAGGCCCTCTAGATGGTGCTTTCGAAGAACATAACTCCTGAGATTTTCTGAGGCCCTCTAGATGGTGCTTTCGTCCAAAATGTGGGCCACAGCCTCATGGTTTGGTACACTGATGTAGAGCTACTAGCGAAAAAGAACATAACTCCTGAGATATGATTTATTACTGATGTCATAAATCAAATGAGAATGAGCCTCGTTTTTTTTTTTTGCACGACTCCAGTTGTACTTAATAGAGCTGCTCCCCCAGGGAATTACTGCTACTTCCTGTCTTCATCCTTCATCCATTTATCCTTTATCTATGATCTACAACTGCAACTATTTTTACTGGACTTCAACATTCATTAATACCATGACAGAAATGTCCCCTCTGTCGTATATCTTTTATGACGTTACTGATGATAAACATATGATAGAGTTTTCAGATGAATGTAAATTCTCTTAAACTCTTCTGCAGCTGCATGGATTTCCTATGGTTCCTCCAGTTAAATACTTTACTAGTCTAAAATATAATTTTATATGTTTTGTTATACAAAGAGTACTTTTTTCCACACAAGGATTTAGACTTAGACCTGGACTCTGTCATGCAAACGCTGTTATTATTTTCACACTGTCTGTTTGCATGTAAATTACCTGGACTACATGTGTACGTACCTGACACACACAAGGATTTAGACTTAGACCTGGACTTTAGACTCACACTGTCTGTTTGCATGTAAATTACCTGGACTACATGTGTACGTACCTGACACAGGGTCATGTGGGGTCACCTTTATTTTGCTGTGACTAACAGTCCCTTTAACTTCACAGGTACCGATCAAATGGATGGCCCTGGAGTCCATCTTAAACAGGACCTACACGCACCAGAGTGATGTGTGGAGTTACGGTGGGTGTTTTGTTTTTTCTTCCTGTTGTCAGCGCATGTTCTCTCCCTCTCTTTTACCCCGCTTGAACCCTTGCAGCATCACAGATCACATCAGATGTGTAAAGCAGCTGGTGCCGAACCCTGGAGTAATGCTGACGGTGTTAGAGGAAGAAATATTTATCCTGTCCAAAACAAAGTGTTTAAGCAGCATGGGAGACGGAGAGGGAGGGCAGCTGTTTTGATGCTGCAGTTGGGATGTTGCTCCTGGATCTAAAAGCACTTGTCAACATTTTCAAAAGGGAGAACATTGAGCCACTATCTGTAGTTTTTACGACACAGGTAGTACACACCTACACACCAGCAGTCTCAGGTGGACAATATCACGTTAAGAAATATTCTTACCTCAGCCCACGTAAACAGTTCCGTCAGTCCAGGAGCACACACACACACACGCTAATGCCCACACACACACACATAAAAACAAAACACAGCAGAATTTGAGTGGGCCAGAATCCAGACCTTCCTTTCCAGAGGTTTTGATCTAACCTTCCGCTTCGTATGGCAAAAACATCTACAGACCCTCGCAGAGAGGAGGGGTCCAGCTTCCTGTCTTCTGTTTCTATGTTGCTCCAGCTCTAAAATGTACTCTGCTATCTCCATCTTCAGCACTCACTGCCAATTTGTCAACATAACTATATGGACTTTGGAGGGTTTTTACATTCAGCCACACTCATTTCTTCTGTTTATTTGGAGTAACTGGCAGCTGAGCGCACTGACGTTTACCTGCTCTTCCTCTTACTCCTCGTAGGTGTAACAGTTTGGGAGCTGATGACATTTGGGACCAAACCTTACGATGGGATTCCAGCCAGTGAAATCGCAGGAGTCCTGGAGAAAGGAGAGCGACTCCCTCAGCCGCCCATCTGTACCATAGATGTGTATATGATCATGGTGAAATGTAAGATCAGTTTAAAAAGTCTGCTTTAATGTTCATAAGAAAGAACGTTCTAGTCATTTGTGTTGGATTGTCAACTATTTTTTTTTGTACGTTGTGATTTTTGAGCTCATTTACTATTCTAACCATTATTATCAGATGTTGACATAGACATATTTACAACATAGCTAGACCGATGACTTCTGCTCGTGTGCCTTCAAAGGTTGGATGATTGATGCCGACAGTCGACCTCGGTTTCGGGAGCTAATAGCAGAATTTACAAAGATGGCAAGGGATCCTTCCCGCTACCTTGTCATTCAGGTAAAAATCTGACCCAGAAGAACATTTAAATGTTTAAGAATTAGGACAAAGAAGTGATTGAAATGACTAGATTAAAAAGTGAAACGTTTCTATTTCAGGGAGATGACCGTATGCATCTACCAAGTCCCACAGACACTAAGTTCTACCGCAGTCTGATCAGTGGGGAGGACCTGGCGGATGCAGTGGACGCAGACGAGTACCTGGTGCCACAACATGGTTTCTTCAGCAGTCCAAGCACCTCACACACTCCTCTGCTGCACTCCACAGTAAGATACCTCATGTTAAGTTCTGGGTGTGTCTGTCTCCTGGGGTTTTTTCTGAAAAAATTAGGTACCAGAGATTTTCTTTTAAATTTTCAGTCCATGATTTTTAAACTAAGAGAAAAATATTTAATATTTCTCTAACAAAAGACAACAAAACGCAGATTGTGGTCGTAAAAGTTCAAAGTGCACAAAGCAGAAGTAAACTCAAGGTTAATGTGTAAGTACGGAGAATAAGATAACATTATTATTGCACAATGCACCGTGGTAATGAGTAACTACGACGTGTCATCAGCTCAGAAACTGCAGGGTTCTGACTCACATCCGGTCTTTTAAATGGGAGAGTTCTGTCAATATGCACAACTTCCACTAGAGAGCAGAGTTTTACTAAAATACACATCCCAGCGCTCTCACGTGCCTTTCATAGTGTCATGCTGTGATCAGTCACTGGGATGGAGCACTTTAAATATTCATTTATGAGAATGTGAGGAGTAAGGTATTCAAAAATAATTACATTTTAAATGTATTAATATTTTTGAAAAAACACACTGTAGTTATGACTTCAAGTCTAAATGTGGTCCTGTGGTGCTCTGGTGACGTGTCCAGTACGTACGCTCTCCCAATGCTTGATGGGATTGTCGCCATGTGACCCTGAAAACAAATAAGCGATGGCACATGAATGAATCAGTGTCTGATGTTTCTGTCTCTACTTCATCATAAAAACACAAGTGTGTTTCCTAGCAGAGGAATTCAGTTCCTTTTTTTCTACTCACCAATTTTACAAATACTATAACTGCTACTAAAGACACAGTCCTTGTTTTATTTTATATATTTAAGGCCAAAAATTTAAACCACTTTGTATGTTTTTGCTTTGAAATGTAATTAAAAAATATGATAAAAGCAAATGAAACCTTTCCAAACCATTCTAAATGCATTGAAAATCAAGTCACAGCAGATTTTAGCCTTACTCTTTGCAGCTGTTTTCACCATCATCCACTCTTCTAATCACAATGTCAATTGTAAATGAGTTCCAAGTTATTGTCACTGTGGAGTTATCTGGAAGAAGACGAGGGTGATGTGTGGCGAGGCGCAGGTGTCTTTATTACTAACACGTGTGCAACAGATTCAGTCACACAAACAGTGAAAGAACAAAAGCAGCTGTTTCAGGGGATGCATCACCATTAACCAGGAAAATCTACGCTCCCTGATTCGGTCTCACATCCCTCAGACCTGTCTATGTTACCGGCAGTGAGTCAACTGGACTCTTACTTCTTGTAATTCCAATTCTGCATTAATCATCTTCCTTTGCCAGTCAAAATGGAAATCAAAATCTGAACAGTTGTTCGTACATGTCACCTGATCCCTTGTTGCCACATTTGCCTTCACTTTGTTCACTTTTTTTTGACTACTGCGGCTGTTTTTTCTCCTCTTCTTGACCCCTGCCCACTCACCCTCATCATCTTCATCCTCATCATCCTTTCTCCCACGTTTCCTCCCAGTTGCCCTTTGATTGATGAGAGCTGGAGACGGAGAAGTGTTCTTCCGCCGGTCACTGAAGGCCGTGCGTAGGCCTAGCTCTTCTACCTGCAGCTCTGGCAGTGCTGGACATCGACAGCCCGTCCAGCTCATAGGAGCTTTGACTTTAATTATCTTTGCAGGAGAACTGCCTCAAGTCACTGTCCAATAAAAGCTAACTACGAGCCTGCTTTTCTAATATCAGTGTTATGGCATAGCTCTCAGGAGACTGTGGTTTTTAGCAGGCCGTTGCTCATTCGGTGTTTAATTTCCTCCTCCTGTTGAAAGTAATTGCTTTGCCAAAGCTGTCACTCTTCTCTCTTTATTCTCTTGTTTTCTTTTCTGTCTTAAATCTGCTCTCAGCTCTACTGACTCAGGTCTCTGACAGACACGGGAAAGCTGGTTGTTTAGCCTGAATGAAGATGAATTTCCACAGTGGATGTTTATTTTTGATACACATCAGTTTTCACTGAAATGACAGATACAGTTTCCTGGGTACCATAAAAAATAAGCACCGCGTTCTGGTGGGAAAGTTATTGTCTCCTCAGTGGTTTCAGAATAAATCACAGCAACTAAAGGAGTTGCACTTACATCCAAGAAGCTATAAATAAACGTAGAATGTTGAATCCAGGAAGAAGGATGGGGGGGAAAAGTGTGGAAACTGGGCACAGCTTTGCAGTGAAGATGTCTGTTTTTGCAGCTGTTTTTTTTTTTACAGTTACCATCCATTTCCTCATGTTCCTTTTATGGACCAGTGGGACATGTTTAAGTGTGTTTGCTGTGCTGTCCTTGAAAAACATTGACTCGGCTTTTTTTTAATTTTGCAGAGTCTCAACAGCAGCATTGGAACATGTCACAGAGGGAATGGAGTACTGGTGAGTAAAATACTTAGACATTCTCTTTCTTTCACTTCTTATATTTGAGGTGCACGTTCTAGAAATCCTCCGTTCTTTTCTTACAGAATGGGTTCCCCAGCAGAGATGGTAGCATTGTTCTGAGGTACATTCCTGATCCCACAGAAAACCTTTTTGATGACGCCTTCCTGCCAGCACCAGGTGAGTGTCCTTCATCCTGGAGACTAGAGTTGGCACAACTGAGTATTTAAATATTAAAAATGAGAAGTTTGTAGCTCTGATGCAGCGAGGATGGGCAGAAAACACCAGCTATTAGAATCATTAGCTCCAGAGTAATTAAAAATGTGTTAAAAGAACTACAACACATCTCTGAAGCTCTAACAAAGTTCTGTTTCTTCCAGATTACATGAACACCAACGGCGCCTCAGACATGATGAATCCAGTTTACCAACAACCCGGTCCTCCTCGTACCCTCCTCCCCACGATCTCCTCGGATGACACCGAGTCAGAATATCTCAACTGTTTCAAGAACGGGGGCGACGGGCCCGAGTACCTAAATGACATTCCTGCCTCCACCATTCTCCCCGTCACCTCCAACGGCAAGATCCACAGCTTTCAGAATTATCAGAACAGCATAGACAACCCTGACTACCAACAGGACTTCAGTCCCAGGTTCAAGTCACATGCAAACGGACACATCCCAGCAGCGGAGAACGCAGAGTACCTGGGCCCAGACTGACGTCCGGACTGGACATTGTAAAGAAATACAAGACATTTTTCTTTAACCCTGAGCGTTCATGTCATGCCTAAAAACACATTTCTCACTGGTACCATCAGTTTTCATATGTCTGATGACGTCAACTGACTCCACAGCTCTCTGTGTTGTTTGCAGTTTATCATAACTCCTGTAAAAGCTGTCACTTTTCAAAAGGGTTTCTTTTTCCAACACAAGCCAACAATTTGTTTTAAATCAGTGAGCAGGGACAAAAGCTGACATGTAACAAGACTCAGCCGACCCAAGAGTTTCTGGACAAGAACCTCTCCACCCCTGATGTTGTGTCCTCCGTGTAGAAGTGGACATCGTCAGAGCAATCCGATGTCTCATGGGAGGCAAAGTCTTTTATTTCAAAGGCAGCTCGGCCCAAAAACACAACTGTAAGGTACAGTGTTGGAGAAGGACGAGACACACAATCAGGAACAGACATTGATCGGTTTGCATTCAAAGGGCTGACGACACACAGTGGGCCACTCACTCCGGAACTTTTATCTCTGAGGTCAGCAAGATGATTAAAGACAGAATGTAGCAGCTGGACTGTGGGGTCACTCCTGAGGGAGAGAGAATGTAGAATCTCTGTGAAGGGAGTGGTGTTTGAGGACGTTTGACATGTTACCTTTACCGCCCCCAGATCGTTTGTTTTGTTGTGTGTGTGTGTGTATGTTTGTGGAAGAGAAATGGAGGGAGGGAGGTAGTAACTGTTGGAGGAATAGGAGGGGTAAATATGACAAATTTGATCGTGGTAATGTTCACTTTGTCGGCAAACAATAGACGCTGTAAAAGAAAATACACACAGCCGTCCTAAAAGCCTAAAAAGCCACTTATTATTTTTGGAAATAAGTCTGAATGAAAAGAAAACCTTTAACAAAAGTGTATTTATTGGGAAAAGAACAATACAGCAGGACATCATGATCTAATTTCAGCTTGTCTGGTCCCAAATGAACTTATACATGTCACATTTTTACCGAGGTTATAATGATTAAAGATAAAAATGGCCGCCTCTCTGGGGCATTTATCTGGTTTCTACATCAACTCCTTTTCTGCCGTCTCACAGATTATTTCCATTTAGCTGGACTAAGTGTGTATAAATAGAGCACAAATGGTTACCAGTTTTCTTTAACCCCACATACGTAGAACATTTAATGGAGCTCACATATAAATGCTTGTTGGTTATGGTTATTAATTAAACGGTCAAAAAAAGGCTAAAACTATATGTCCAGTTTCAGTTTACTTCTGCCAGTGCTGATAGAACTGTCTTAGATTGTGAGAGTAACTTGTTTAAAAACCTTCAAACACATACAATCTCCTGGGTAATGTGATATATTTGAGAGAATGCCTGTGTGTTTGACCACCTGTTGTTTATAGTGTAGTGTAGAAAAACTTTTACCTGGACACTTTACTTTGTCTCCTCTCCTGATAGTTATAGATTATGGTTTGACTCAGGACGTGGAGACCACCTCTGTGGAGCTGCTTAGACTTACAGTAGCTTTAAAGTCTTGTAGTTTTGCAAGAGCATTAACTTGGCAAATATTGTTCCTAGTTTTAAAGGAATGTCCTATCGTAGCAGGCGGGTTTTACACAGGTACATGTACAGAAAACTGTGGACGGTGATGTAATATAACCCCCGAATGTCACAGGTAATTTATCAGTACATGATTGTGTCACATCGTAAGTCAATATGCACTTGTTCCTTTACAAAAAAATGTTATTATTTTATTCAAGAATACAAATAAATCTGTTTTGTTTTGTTCTTTTTTTTCTATGAAAACTTTTTGTCCTTTTTCACCTTAATCAACACAATGCTGAGTGATTTGTGCACTGGAATGGGATTAAATCCAGCGGTGATGAGCCAATCAAGGGTCGTCATTAGGTATCAGCCAAAACCTCTGACTGTTTACAGTTGTAATGACAAAGTCCATCAGTGAGGCCCATTCACTTCCTGAAAATCAGTCCTCAACCTGCTTTTAGGCACTGATTATAAATATAACCTATTATACTACAGTATGGTATACACACCATAAGCACTGTTTAAAAAGTAAAAAATTATAAAGAAAGAAGACAGACTGCTTGGCTTCGCTTCATTATCTTAAAGTCCTTTGATCAAATCTGATTGGCAGATCCAGTGATAACAATAGCACCAACCAAGTTGATGCATTCACACGTTTTCATTCATTTGTTAATTCATTCATCCTTGCTTACTTTTTTCTGCCAGGCCTTGTAAATATATAGGCCTTTTAAATATGCTGCCCTATATTTCAGAAAATAGTTAAAATCTTTAAAAAAACAGTTTAGGTTTAATTTAAATAATGGCAGACATGTCACAGGTTGTCACCATGGTGTTTTACAATAGCTGACATTCACAATTAATGCTTCAGTGCATTTTGTTCCTCTCATTTCTATGTAGTGACATCATCAAAACACATTAAAGGTTTCAGCATTTTTAAGAGAATTTCATCCACCTTTGATCTCTAGATAGATAGAAATAGAGAAAATAGAGATAACTTTTTTGTAAAATTCAAATTCAGTAGCAGTGGCAATCGTTACATTCCACTTTAATAAGAATAATAATTAACGTTATACCTATATAAACATATAAAAGTAAAAATGTTTTTTCAACGGTTGCGCTTTTTTGTAATTTTTTATATATAACAAATCAATGTAAACTCAAACATTCAACGTCATGTCCTCTGCATTGTCATCAGAGGTGCAGTGTATGCTGTCATCGCTTGGTGGCAGTAGCGAGGCAACGGTCTGTCACAACTATATGATCGCGTGAAGAAGAAGCGGTGATCATATGTGAAACTTTGGCTACACGGTGTCCTGGATTTAGTCTGTACATTGACGAGGATGGGGCCGCTAAAGAGGATAAAGTCATTCTCAGCCCTTCTATTCGTTTTACTTCTGTTAGACGGATACTTTCAGTGGGTAAGTATTTATTTCTGTTCATGCTCATGTGACTAAAACATGACTCAGCTCCGGCTTATGCTGCTGTTGTGATGTTTACCTGAGGTTGGTAACGAGACCGCCTGTCTGGTTGATCTAGATTTTTAGGATTCTGGCTAGCTAAAGAACCGGAACAAGGACTACTGTAGTTTGAGATCAATGTTGGCTAAATGTTGGGAAAAATTGAGTTAAAACGCACAGTAGCAGCGTTAGCACTGACGAGAATGGATTTAATTGTTGAATTGGTCTAACTGTTTTTTTATTCCATAGAAAAATGTGTTTAGTATTCTGTGTTTTAGAAGCTAAAGTAACGTCGCTATCATTCCACTGCTGTTTGAGGGTCGTCATGTGTGAAACTGCCCTTCATTAGCTTCACAGTCAGTGCAGTTATTGTCGTGTAAACACAGGAGGCTAAACCTCCCACCTGACCGAATAACTGCTTTATACACAACTATTTCTATTAAAATAAACTTATGACACATGAATTAACTGAAAGTTTATCGCAGCTGGCGTGATAAACTGGGTATAAAACGACTTTTTTGCTTTTAAGCATTTTCTCCTTTTTATGTATATATGCAAAAGAAGAAGACGAATCTGCAATGAAACATAAACCTGAATCCGAGAAGTGCTAAACAGAGAAATTATTAAAACAAATATCAACAATAGATAAGATAACAAATCCTAACACAATATGTTAATGTATAAATTGTGTCTTTACCAGTTACCAGATGTACATTTATTTATAAATATTTGTGGTAAAGTTGTTTTAGTGTGACCTCAGTCACCACCAGATAGTGAAGTGAGAAGAGGTGGGAGCCATTATATGTGAAAGCACATTTGGACGAAGGAGGGAGGAGCAGCTTTTTGTTTTATTATGATAAGACAAATATGTACATCATGTGACCAACACTGGCCTGTCGACCTCTGACCCAAAGGCTCCATTTGGTTGTATTTCTTTTATCAAATATAAATGAGGAAATTAAACTTTGCATTCTGATGTTCTGGATAAGACAGGGCATAAACATATACAAAAGAGTCCAATAAATCATTCCTCATCTCACTTTTCAAATGTAACATGTAAGAAATTAGTTGCTAGTTGCAAGTAATTAAAACAAGTAACACTCTAGTAAAGTTCATTGTTGAACATCTAAGCAAAATTAGTTACTTAGAACCTGGGAGTTAGGGGAAAGTTGTCTCTTACATGTTGGTTTCTGATGAAAAAAGTTTATGAAATCTTAAGTTATAACTGTTCTTTGGTGTAGACAGATTTTAACAGTCACTTGATTACTTTGGACTAATCCTCATTCAGTGCACCGTTTGCCCCCATGCTTTGAGGTAAATAGGTCACAGCACAGGCCATCTGCTTAACCACTACCTGGTCAGGAGAGGAGGAAGTGGAATTTAATATTTAAAAAAAGAAAAAGGGATTGTACAGCAGGTTGTGCTTTGTGTAGTTTTACAGAAAACAAGTAATTGCAACTGAACCGAGGATCAAAATCAATTGTGTGACATATTTTTTAAAAACAGAAACAAGAAACATCTTGTGTTGTTGTGTCTTGAATTGGAGCAGTGAGCTGATCAGTGGCTGTTTAGAGAGTCTTTGCTCCCCTTGAACTTAGTCACACCAGGCACAAGTCGGACAGAGTGAGACACTGGGTACAACAGATTGTAGAGTAAGTGAATTAACTTCCCTTAGTCACTCGCCACTCAACCACAATCACATGACAGCTCTGAGACTAAAGAAGAGGAGCAACGGAAACCCTACGTCAACATAAATAAAATAAAAACATTTAAAGTAAGTGGTTTCTGTAATGTTACTATGGAAATGGGACCTTGTTTTTCCTTAAATAAAATAATGTTAAATACAAATGTGACTCTTTCTAGGCTGCCAGATGAAAAAGCAGAAGTGAGAAAAAAATTTGACATTGGACTGTAATTTCTATGAAACTGAATTTTTCCTCTGTTTCTTTTTGTCTGATTTTCAGGTTGCAGCTCAGCACTGTGTATGGTACGGTGAGTGTGGAGAGTCTACATCGGTGCCAGGGAAAAAGTACAACTGCAATGACACCGGTCCCCCCCGCCCACTAGAACCTGAGGGCTATGATGTTCTCGCGGTACTTTTTCTTTTAGTTTTTAACTTGGTATTGTTAAAAAGATTTTTACAGCATTCATTTGTACCACATTTCAAATTAGCACAATTAGAGAATAATTTTATACTATTAGGCAAAATCTCTGGATGCAGAAGCTTGCATTTTGGCACTTTACATAAAAACATATGGATGCTAGAGATTCACATTGCTTTACTACTGATCAAAACACCTGGAAAATACTCATCTTTATTTTCTTATGGTTTTCTAATTTTTATTTTTTATTACAAGAATCACTGCATTCCAGCGAGTTTTACAAAGAAAAATCATCCCTTGTGTTTGTGTTTAGGAAATATGTCCAGGATACAACTACGGAAACCGAAGCCTCTGTTGTGACGTGAACCAGCTGAAGACTCTCTACGGGAGTTTGCAAGTGCCCCTGCAGTATCTCTCTCGGTAAGTTCCAGTTACAGTTCTGCAGTTCTCTATTATCTAATGAAGCACATGACAAGCTTTGTGAACACAGGGAGTAGACTGTTCACCCCCCCGCCACCCCTCCTCCCTTTGCCAATCTGCTGCTCAAAAGCTACTGCAGCCTCTCTTCCTGCCTTGGTCTTGCATGACAAACAGTCAGGACGGAATGTCCTACAGGACGTAACATGTCTCTGTAACCTGCAGAGGTCGACACATATGCTCATCTTCATTACATTTAACATGTAATTTTCTATTTCGGAGCTGTTTTACTCTAGACTGCAAAAAAAAAACTTTCTCTTAATTCCCACACTTCTCTCCAACCCTGCACAAGGTGTCCGGCCTGTTTCTTCAATCTGATGAGTTTGTTCTGTGAGCTGACATGCAGCCCCCACCAGAGTCGGTTCATGAACGCCACACAGATCGTGGACTCCAGTGTAACTGAAGTACAGTACTATATTGGAGAAAGCTTTTCTAATGGTGAGTTCACATGCAGGTTTGGATCAACACGCGCACACACACACACGCTGAGCCTGACTGTGTGACTCTAACTGTACTTATAAAAACAGCCATGTTTACCCTGCAGGAGAAATGTGCTGATTAAACTTCTTTCACCTAGTATGACATGAAGTCATGCTCCTCTCAATTGTGTAATTCTCTGGTTAACTTACGGTCACAAGTCTATCTTTTTTTTTCCAGTCAAATAAAAAAAAGACTCATGCTGATTCTAACTGGCAGTAAAAATGATACTGGTTAATGATTAAACTGAACCTTTTTTCAGCGATGTACAATGCTTGTAAGGACGTGCAGGCACCGTCAACCAATGCAAAGGTCTTGTCATTACTGTGTGGTAAAGAGGCAAAGGACTGCAACGCTACGAACTGGATCCAGTACATGTTTAATATCGACAACAAACAGACTCCCTTCCCCATCATCCCTATATTCTCAGGTAAATTAATTAGTTCTGCAAAGCATTTTATCTGTCACTTTTTTTTTTTGCACAGATGACCAATGATATTCTCTTTTTTGCTGTTTTAGATGTCCCTGTGCATGGTTACGACCCCATGAACAACAAGACCTATGCTTGCAGTGATGAGTTAGAGGACGGTTCAGCTCCCTGCTCCTGTCAGGACTGCAGTGACGTCTGTGGACCCAGACCGGTCCCACCTCCTCCGATCCCACCGTGGACCATCTTTGGTATCGACGCCATGACTGTCATCATGTGGATCTCTTACATGGCCTTCCTGCTTCTCTTTTTTGGAGCTGTACTGGCGGCGTGGTGTTACAGGTGAGAGGCTTCTTACTGCTTCCACTTTAGGAAATTAAATAAAAAGCATTTTGTCTTTGTTGCTAACAGCACAAGGTCAAAATTTTGTTCCTGTGGCTTCTTACTGCTTCCACTTTAGGAAATTTAATAAAAAGCATTTTGTCTTTGTTGCACAAGGTCAAAATTTTGTTCTTTTGTGTTAACAGGAAAAGGACATTCATGTCTGAGTATGGCCCTATACTGGACAGTAACAACTCAGTGTCTCTGAACGGTGAAAGTCCTGAACTAGGTATAGTTATATTTTCCTAAATATTAACAGCCTTACTGGTATTTGTATTATTTTTCCTTTTAAGTAAATATATATATATAAACAATATATATGTACTGTGTCAATTGTTCTTTGTCGAGTAATTCTTCTTCTCTTCTTAGTCAATGCATCATGTTGTGAAACCCTTGGTGAACGCTTCGAGAATGCACTGCAGATCGCCTTCAGTTCCTGGGGTTCCTTCTGCGTACGCTTCCCCTTTGTGGTCATCCTAGGAACTGTGATCCTTGTTACAGCGTTCTCTGGAGGGCTTCTCTATATGCGCATCACCACGGACCCTGTGGAGCTGTGGTCCTCCCCCAGTAGTCAGGCTCGCCAAGAGAAGGACTATTTTGACAGCCACTTTGGACCTTTCTTTAGAACAGCACAGCTCATAATAACAACTCCACTCAACATCACTGACATCTTCTCGCCGTACCCTGTGGGAGATGACATCCCTTTCAAAGCCATACTGACTAAAGACATCCTGCATCAGGTGAGTCCAGTCCAGAGTGTGTTTTCTAAAAGCTGCTGCAGTTCTGTGAAAACGTTTTGTTTGCACTTCCACATTTTGATTGCTTTTTTGGTCACCCTGCAGGTGCTGGATTTACAGCTTGGGGTTGAAGACATTGTAGCCACGTATGAAGGTCAGAACGTAACCCTGAAGGACATCTGTTTGGCTCCACTGGCCCCATACAACAACAACTGCACCATCCTGAGCGTCCTTAACTACTTCCAGAATAGCCACACTGTGCTTGACCACATGAATGGAGATGAATTCTATGTCTATGCTGACTATCACAGTCACTTCCTTTACTGTGTCAGGTGATTTTTGTTCCTTTCCTCAATTCTTTAGTTTCCTTTCCCATTTCAAGTGAGCCTGTAGAGTCCAGCGTCACAGTCTCCAGTGTACCGTGGTTTGACATTGATCGTCTTGTAATGTCCTCACTAATCTGTATGCATGTTTTCTGAGTAATTAAGGAAATGAAAGGAAATGAGCAAATTGTGGTTTTTGTTGTCATACTATGATTATTTTCACCAAACATGGTTATAAAGAGTTTTCTAACTGCTTTTCATTTTCAATTTAGTGCACCAGCATCTCTCAATGACACCACAAACCTCCATGACCCTTGTTTAGGGACATTTGGCGGACCAATCTTTCCATGGCTTGCCCTCGGAGGATATGACGGTGAGCTTTTTTTATTACTCAGTGCTGAGTTTTCCCAAAATGTGTCTCATTGAAATAACCTTTCCAGCATGTGGTGGAAAAGTGTTTTCCTCTCTTCCCGTACAGCAGTGGTTCTAAAGTTGGAGGTGGGATCCCTTTAGTGGGGCTATTACAGAGGGTGCAGCAAAGGCCAAATGAATTAAAATTTAAAGAATGGAGACATTGCACTGATTTGTAATTTTACTTTCATTGTATAATGGGAATAGCACCTAGTTTAGGTTGAAGAGTTCCGTTAGGCAAAGGGACGTGAAAAGGAGTTTTGTTATTTAATTGTTAAAGTGCATATGTTTACCCTGTTGTACAGAGACCAACTACAACAATGCCACTGCGCTCGTGATCACCTTTCCCATCAACAACTACCTGAATGACACCGTGAGGATGGGAAAAGCTCTGGCCTGGGAGAAAGAGTAGGGCTTCATGATGTTCATAAATCTGTCCCTGACAAAGCCAGTGTTATTTGTGCTCACACAGTTTGTTTGTGCACATTTCAGATTCATCAAATTTATGAAGAACTACCAAAACCCCAACCTGACCATAGCCTTCAGTGCAGAGAGGAGCATTGAAGACGAGCTTGACAGAGAGAGCAACAGTGACATCAGCACCATTGTCATCAGCTACGCCATCATGTTCCTGTACATCTCTCTGGCTCTGGGTCACATCCAGAGCTTCAGGAGACTCTTGGTGAGAGACCAAAGTCTTACATCAGTGTAATCATGTTTATTTTCAGCAGACACTGCACATTAGCATCATGTGGTTTTGAGCTTCCCCTGTGCCGTTTTACTGATCTCTCCTGTTGCTGACGTAACACCTCTAATTTTAGAAAAGTATTGCAGACTCTACAACTTCCTGAGATGAATGAAAATGAAGTCTGAATCATTTCTTTTTGCATCCCCAGGTGGACTCCAAGATATCTCTGGGAATAGCTGGTATCCTGATTGTGCTTAGCTCCGTGTCCTCCTCATTGGGAATCTTCAGCTATGCTGGAATACCGCTCACTCTCATTGTCATCGAGGTCATACCCTTCCTGGTGCTGGCTGTCGGAGTGGACAACATCTTTATCATAGTGCAGACGTATCAGGTAAACTTTAATCTTCACAACCAAAACAAACATCTGTTTATATTGTTAGCTACATGTTTTTTTATTACTGTAAGTTAATTATTTCTATGTTTTTCGAACAGCGGGATGAGCGAATGGCACATGAGGAACTTCACCAACAGATTGGACGAATTCTTGGGGATGTTGCACCAAGCATGTTTCTCTCGTCCTTCTCTGAAACCGTGGCCTTCTTCCTGGGTAAACCTGACCGTTCATTTCATTTCATGTCACGTACACACAGAATGAAAAATGCATTTCAAACAATCATCTGCTGTTTGTGTTGAATCAAGAAAGGTGTCTTCATGTCACTGACAGAGTTGTCGACTCTGTTCTTTTTGCAGGAGCCTTGTCTAACATGCCTGCAGTCAGGACATTCTCCCTCTTTGCTGGCTTAGCTGTTTTTATTGATTTCCTCCTGCAGATCAGCTGCTTTGTCAGCTTACTTGGTTTGGATGCCAGAAGACAGGAGGTGACTTTTTTTTCTTTGTTTTTTTGTTTTGTTTTTGTTTTGGGGTTGTCTTTAGGCCTCTTTGGAATAATATTGGTAGGATTTACATGCCATTAAAAATATGTTAAAATCTCTGTATTAGCCCAGATACAGGTTCAATTGTTTTATATCCAGAGCATTGTCTGTGACTTTTTGATTTTCAGTCTCCATGCCCCTGTAAACACATTTAAGATATTTCTCAAGGTTTGTAAAGATCCTTGTTGTTGTTGTCTGTTATCTTTAAAAGGCAAATCGTCTGGACATCATGTGCTGTGTCAAGCTTCCAGAAGGTCAAGAGACAAAGACAGACAGCATCCTGTTCCGCTTCTTTAAGAAAGTCTACGCCCCATTCATCCTCAAAGAGTGGGTTCGACCAATAATTGTAAGTATTGGCCAGTTTGTGTGTTTATGTGACTACATTAATAAGTAGCACGTCGGGAAATAATTTGGTTCCTCGATTAAATTGTGTTATTTGTGTTTCCGTCAATCAGGTGGCAGTGTTTGTAGGTATGCTCTCCTTTAGCGTCGCTGTAGTGAACAAAGTAGAGATTGGACTGGACCAGAAATTATCAATGCCTGATGTAAGTCTGTGTAGTTTTTTTTATAATAACATTGTGATCAAGAAGCCATTTATTATTATTGACTTATAATCAGTGGTGGGCCAAACTGATCATCTGTCTCTGAATGCAGGACTCGTACGTGCTAAACTACTTCAGAAACCTGAGTGAGTATCTTCACACTGGCGCTCCTGTGTACTTTGTGGTGGAAGAAGGTTTGAACTACAGCAGCCCTGAGGGTCAAAACGTTGTATGTGGAGGCGTGGGCTGCAACAACAACTCTGTGGTGCAGCAGATTTACTTCGCCTCACTCATCAGTAACTAGTACGTCTCTTCTGCAATAAAATTAAAAAAGATCTTCTTTTTTTTTTCTGACTTCTCACATCGGCTTTGTTTCATACGTTCCAGCTCTACCATCGCTAACACTCCTTCCTCCTGGCTGGACGACTACTTTGACTGGGTGAAGCCTCAGTCCAGCTGCTGTAGATATTATAACGACAGTGGAGCTTTCTGCAACGCCTCAGGTAATGTGTTACCCAGCGGAAACAGGCGTTCTTTGTGAATTTAAATTAAGCCACATACAAAACAACTGGAATAACTGTGGGAGATGTTGGTTATTTTTTCTTTTGACTAACGAAGAATGTTCTTAGGTTTTGGTGTATTTTCAGATCGTCCTGATCCACGTGTCCATCAATATCTAGTACTGAAGGGTAACATTTTTCCTTTTATTCTTGCTTTTTCAGTTGTGAACAACACCTGTGTGCGCTGTCGGCCCATGACAGATGCCGGAAAACACAGACCTGAGGGAGAAGACTTCATGAAGTTTCTGCCCATGTTCCTCTCAGACAATCCCAACATCAAGTGTGGAAAAGGGTAATTAAGAAGCTCTGTCTGAAAGACTTTGTCAACAATGTGAAGTGACACAGTGGCAGAGTGGATGGGACTTATTTACAGTACCTTAGAGTTTGTCTCTTTACCGCCACCATTTACTAAACGTGTTGTCCTGTTGCACCCCCAGTGGCCATGCAGCTTATGCCACAGCAGTGGATCTGTATCCAGACAACACAGGAGTGGGAGGAAGTTACTTCATGTCGTACCACACCATCCTCAAAGAATCCCCGGACTTCATCCACGCTATGAAAATGGCCCGAAAGCTGTCAGAAAATATCACACAGTCCGTGAACCACAAAGTGTTCGCCTACAGGTACGTCCTGCTGTTCAACTCTGATGAGGTGTGTTAGGGTCTGACTTCTTTGGTTTTCTAAGCTGAGATAGTGACGTTGAGTTGGTTTGAATACAAAGTTCAAGGTAATGTTGTAGGGATAAAGTAGGTCAGAGGTAATGGGGTGGGTTTGACCTTATGTTGACCTTCATGTCTGCTGTTGTTCATGCCAATCTACAAATAAATAAGATAATGCAGATTGGACTTTTGTTCTGAAACAGTTCAAATACTCACATGTGGTGAATACCTGTCTCTTTATTCCAGCGTCTTCTACGTCTTTTACGAGCAGTACCTCACCATTGCCTACGACACCGCCCTGAACCTCAGCATCTCACTGTCCTCCATATTTGTGGTCACGGCGATTTTGCTTGGCTTCGAGCTGTGGTCGGCCGCGCTGGTCAGCATCACCATCGCCATGATCCTCGTCAACATGTTCGGTGTCATGTGGTTGTGGGACATCAGCCTCAACGCTGTCTCACTGGTCAATCTGGTCATGGTGAGAACCACACAGTAACAGTAATGTCAGTTGCATCAGAAGGTCACTGGTTTGAGTCCCAGAGGAAAATGATGTTTTTATACTTAACATGGTTTGGTCTCCTGTTCTTTCATGAACTCTTGTCCTGTTGAGTGTGAATGTTCAGTGGTGATACCATGCTGCCGTTGTCTGTGCTGACTCCTCGTTCCTCACTGGCCGTTGCAGAGTTGTGGAATCTCCGTGGAGTTCTGCAGCCACATCGTTCGAGCTTTTTCCATCAGTGTGAAGAAGAACAGAGTGGAACGAGCAGAAGAGGCTCTGGCTCACATGGGCAGTTCTGTAAGTCTCTGCAGTATGACCAGGAGTAAATAATCTAATAAACCTCATCCAATATTTGTTCATTTATTTATGACCAGGAGTAAATAATCTAATAAATCTCATCCAATATTTGTTCATTAATTTTTTTATTTCCCCACCCCTACAGGTATTCAGTGGCATCACGTTAACAAAGTTTGGCGGTATCTTGATTTTGGCTCTCTCCAAGTCGCAGATCTTCCAGGTTTTCTACTTCAGGATGTATCTGGCCATTGTGCTGCTAGGGGCTGCACACGGCCTCATCTTCCTTCCTGTGCTGCTCAGTTATATAGGTCAGTGCTGACATTCACTAGTAGGAAATGGATTTGGCTAAATCACAAATTTGACGCATTTTATAAAGATGTATGAATGTATGGATTTAAATATATATTTATATACATATATATGATTTATATTTGTATTTTTTTCTTTCCACATTTACAGGTCCTTCGTTGAACAAAGCAAAGGTTTTTGCTGCGAACCAGCGCTACGCTGGTACAGAGAGGGAGCGGCTCCTTAACTACTGAAAAGCTTGGACCATGAACAGTAACTTTACACTTTGTCTGTGGCTGTGAGCCAAGCAGTTTCTGTGTTTACTCACACGCTCATCATCGTCGTCACCATTGTCTTGGCCGCTGCTATGCACAGAAGTCGCTCAGAAATGTCCCTGATGCTAGAGAATATCTCCGACTTCACACACACACACACACACGGTTGTCAACTTCAGATCCTCAGGCTCCTTGTCACGCTGCAGGTCAGGCCTGATGTCAGTGCAGGACTGGAGCGGAACAGAATCTTCCCTTCACCTCCTCACCTGACACAAATAGTTAGATGGAAACTTCTGTAATGAAGGATTGGTATTTTTTGGACTTGGAAAATTTTGATATAGTTAAAATGTCATGTCAATGGAACAAACAGTCCCACTAAAAAACCTAGACACTGGGGAGTTACAGTCCTAAAATCAAGAATTCGATTTTATTGTTTGTTAGTTTGTGACAACATCATCACTTACATTCCAAATTAGTCAAAACGTCTCTATTGCAATCACAGAGTTGGTTCTAACTATCATTATCTCTAAAGAGAGAATCAATGAATGAAGGATTTTATCTTGTTTTGACAACGGGCCACACAGTTCTCAAGTCAAAACATGGCTTTTACCTGTTTTTACATCTCTGTCTGGGGAGAAATTTAGGAAATAAATTTTGTTTTTTTTTACAACATATACCACAATTTCCTAACCTGAGAAAATTCTTAGTAGTTATTTACTGTTACTTTTTGTCTTGTTTTGCTTTTGTCACAGACACAAACTACAATGTCATTAATGTCTTTTATTTATCCACTTGTATCTAATTTGCATATATTGTTCCAATTTTATTTAATCTCTGATTTATTGGTATTTCTGGTGCATTTTTTATTGCACGTATAAAGAAAAACGTATGTTTTGACACCAATATAAAAGGGTACTATAATGTAAATAACCATTTTACAGTCTGATGTGAAGGACACTCTTTGCAGATAAACTGTAAATATTCACAGAAGAACTAATTCAGGAGGTTTCTTTTTTTGTTTTCAGAGGTTGATGTTTTTTCTGAGGTTGTTGTCTTTCAGATTGCATTAAAGTAATTTTAGTTTTATTATACTTTCAGATTGCATTAAAGTAATTTTAGAAGTTTTATTATTTGAACCACTAATGTGTTACTTTTGTCACTGTAATAATAATGGAAGAAGCTACTACCTTACTGGACATTTTTTAACTGCAATATATGTTTCCTTGTCATTGTGCCTTAATCAGGGTTGTGTCTTTTTAGTAACGTCATGGGAATGTTGTAATTTTTACCCAGGGTTTATAAAGATGTGTTGGGAAAATTTTTAAACAAATTGTCTCCATTCTTGTTTTGTATATATAGATAGATATATAATATATTTAATATATAATACTTGTGGCCACACAAATAACAAGGGGTAGTATTATGGTGTTTTCTAATGTATGTTTCTCAAACTTTGGTTATATATTTTTGCTTTCCGTGTTTGTGTGAGATATAATTTATTTCTCACAATCTTGTTAGAAATAAATTATATCAGTCTGCAGCTATAGTTTAATGTTGTTTGAATTGGGGATACCTTGAGCCACATGTTTTCAGATCTGATATAAAGGTATATAAATTTAAAAAGTAATTTTCAACGTCCACAAATTAACGACTTGTCCGACTTATTTGTGATGATTGACCCATTTAAGTTTTACAGGGAAAAAAACATACAAGCAAAAACCTATAAAATTACAATTAAATTCAATAAAGCTTAACTAAATTTGCTCCTCACAAACCTGACCAAAAAAGATAATTTATTTTATGCAGAAATTTACTGGTAAAACTAAAATGCAGAACAAAAACACACTGTATCGAGTTCACTTTTGACCACCGTGCGGCGCACTTTCTCAATAAATCCCTATTTCGAACTGTGCTCATAAGAAGTGAACGACACAGACCTGCATTGGAATTAATGTCTGCACACAATGGTCCTGGATTTTCACAAATGTTTTAAAATCCTCGAAAGCGCTTGATAAATGCATTTAAGTATCTTTAAAATGTATTAAAACTGCAGCTGGGTTTTTGTTTTTGCAGAAAGCAGCTAAGAGAATAGTTTACGTATTAAAACACAACTCTGACCTGCGATGAAGGTGTCTCTCTCTCTCTAATAGCTTTAAAAGCTGCAAATGGACCTTGTAAGTGCTTGAATTTGACCTGGGAAAACCATGTTTACACAACAACTCTGTGGTCATCACTCACTTGCATCCCATTTGGAAGTAGCTGCCAAGGCCCGAGTTGTGTACTTCCTCCCGGTGTGTGTTGTTGTGACTGTCTGAGCAGTGCTGTTGTCACACAAACCTCCTGCTCATAATTTATTCATCCTCTGGCCTGTGAGAGCCGGGCTTGTCCTTTAAACAGAGCCGAGACATTAAAATATTCATTTCCTCTGCAGGTCGCCTCCTGGGCTCTCTGCAGGGGAGAACGTACAGAAGACATGAAAGTCTGTTACGTAAGACATTCAGGGCTGATCTGTCTTATTGGACACTGATCCACAGGCGTGTTTAAAAACCACAGACATTGCAGTGTGTTCTGTGTTCTTCATACTGTTGTCACATCACCTTACAGAAGTGACGGAAGCTATGTTGCCTAAAAGGAAAAGGTTTGAATCCTATAGTGGACATTAGGGTTAATGGATCCTCTCACTCAGAGTCTTTTCAGTGTCTCCAATGCCATGCCTGGCCCTAGAACCAGACTTTGCCACCACCTGCACAAACATGAGCACAAATATGAGTGGAAATAAGTCAATAACAACTGGATGAGCTGAGTTTGTCTCTCAGCATGAACTACTGCAATAGTTCTGTGAAATGAGAAAATACCAGAACCCAATTGGACAAATTGGACTTTGTTCAGTATTTGCTCAGTTCTCACCTCCTTCAAGGGTTTGCTTTGTTTTAAATAACCATGAATAAATAAGTGAAGCATTTAATGTCCCTCTCTGCGTCACTGGTTTTCTCTTACAGTGGGCTCAGCTATCTCTGAAACAGACTCTGAGGTGGAACAAAAGGGATTAGGTAACCTCGTCAAACGTGAAGCAAGGATCAGATTTTCAGGTCCACCTGCAGTCATCTCCCCTCCTGACCACAGAACAGTGTGTGGAGAAAAACACTCACATGTTGACCCAAAGAGGGCTGGTGCTTAAAAACACAGTCGGTCCAGTCAGAGCCTGCCTTAGTGTGTTCCCACGCTCACATATATTTACTTGAATACAGAAATACACATAAAATACACATGTGTAAAAGAGTATATTCAAACACACATTTATTAATATATGATTAAATATAAATATATATGTATAAATGGATCTGTGTATGCTGAACATATATTTATATACTATATACATATGTTAGTGTATTAACACACAGTACATACTGTAACCACACACAATATATACACCACTTTAACATGTATTTCTCAGGTTGATGTGGGACAAGCTTCTGTTTCAAAACTTCCTTGTTTCCAAACTTCTGTCATGGAAAAGCCCTGAGTCACAGTGTGATGACAGCGAAGCGGCAAAGCGTCGTTTCAGCCAAAAGTTGTTGTTGTTGTTGTGGAAGGATGGGATGCTTCACATATTTTCACATGGAGGGTCAGTTATGTGTGAGCGGCGCTCAGGAAGACCTGTCAATTGTCCCCTTTATGAGACAATGATGTGGACTTAGGCTGTCAATAGAGGGGTTTAAGCCACGTACACCGCGTGTCCACGGTTTGTTTTGATGACAGCACGAGCCTGCCGTGACTGCAGCCTGCCTTGTTTATCCTGGATATTTGTCAGGAGTGAGAAACACATCCGTCAGGTTGCATCAGAGCTGCAGGTGCAGC